AGACTTGGAGCCGAGCTAAGTCACTGAATAAAGGGGCTGTACCACTGACTGAGCTGAGTTCTGTGTCTTACTGCCTATGATCCAGCCTCCCTGGGGGGCGTTATCCTTCCGTCATCGACTCACGGAAATCCAGCTTCAGCCGTCCCGCACCTCTCCTAGTGACCCGGCAGCTGACGGGTCCTGAACTTAGAGAGAGAGTGCACGGGTGAAATTGGGATGGAACTTGACCGGGCCAGCCTCGGTAGCAGAGACCCACAGAGACCGGAGAAGCAGGGACCCGCCAGCAACGCGGAGCAGACGAGCCGCAGGACCCACCACTTCCCAGGTGCACGGAGGAGACCGGCGCCGGTGCCCCGAGATCCCTGCACCCCCATAAGAGTCAGCTTCAAGTTAACACAGAAGTTATATAGTGGAAAGGGCCTGCTAGTAAGATGATAAAAATAATCATTCATGGAGCTGACAAGACAGCTCAGTGGATAAAGGTACTTGCCACCAAGCCAGACAACGTGAGTTTGATTCCTGGGACCCACATGATAGAAAGAACTGACTCCCCAAGTTGTTCCCGGACTTACACACACACACACACACACACACACACACACACACACACTTTTTAAAATCACATCTCCACTACTTAAAATCAAACTATTACAACAGTAATTGTTAAACAGTTATTGCTGGACCTATGAGCACCTGGAAGCTGAGGCAGGAGGACTGTGAGTTTGAAGTTAGCCTAGGGTTACATACTGGGAACCTGTCTCTAAACAAACCAAGCAGACTGGTAGTAATGGTGCACGCTTTTAATCCCAGCACTGGAGAGGCAGGAGTAGGAGGATCTCTATGAGATTAAGGCCAGCCTGTTCTACACGAGCTCTAGGCCAGTTAGAGCTACCAAAAAAAAAAAGCGCCCCCCCCAACCCTACCCCTGACAACCAACCAAGGAAAGAAATCTGTCAGGCCACACAGATTAAGTAGTATGGTGGCACTCAAATTTAGGTTTACTTATCCATGAAGCAAGCCGTCTCTTCCACAGCCACCTGCTTTCTGGCTCCACTGCCTGCTGTCCACTGCCAATCTGTACTCCACCTGTACCTCCACTGGGGCACAGAAACAGGAGTAACTAAGCCAGGACCTAGACCAGCAATGAAGGATCTTTGGAGTGGGGTCTGGCTACTGGAGTGGATGGGGCAGTCAGCAGGAGCAGTACAACCTGGACATAACCTGGTACCTGCTTAAGCCCAGAGCAGCATATATTAGGATCCTGGGGCAGTGACAGTTTCAGCCACTTGGTTGGTAGTCTTGCCATACCAGGGGCTGTAAGAGTCAGGAATGCCCAGGGCTAAGCCCAGCTTAAATCTTGAATCCATACTCTACTTCCCACAGGGCAGGGAAAAAGGTCTCTTTGGCCTAAGGATCAAACAGCTGAAACCTGAATTCCCTGAGTTCAACAATCTCAGCTGGCAGGAAGAGCCACGGGAAGAGCTGTCCTCAGGCACTACACCTTCAGACAGGAGCCTCCTCCATAAGGCCAGAGTAGGAGTGCTGGGGCGGGCAGAGGCTCGCAGGTGTTTTCTGCAGGAAGCTCTGCTCAGACACTTCTCCCATCCTTCAGGGGCCCACCATAGGACACTTCCTTCCAGACACTTGGAGGCCTTCCTCTATGGTTCCACAGGTGCCACCCTACCAGGTCCACTCAGCTTTCTGCTCTGTTCTGCAACAGGGAAGCTGGCAGCACTTACTGGGGACAGGTAGGAAGAGGTCGCAAAGGAAGGTACACAGTAGGAGATCAGCAAGCTTTGGATACTATGAGGGTTGGGAGGTCCTTGGGTACCCTGCTCATGACGTTACATTTTGGGGCACAGCCATCAAAGTCTAATTCTGCCTCTTCTATATACTATGAGTCTGAGACAAGATACTTACCAGTTTTGGGCCTCAGTTTCCTCACCTATACTACAAGCAGAGAAAATATTAGCCCCTAGTTCTACAGGAATGACCTGAGGAAAAAAATGAGACAATTCAAATAAAGCATCCGGCTCAGGGCCCTGTACAGGACCAGATCCCATGATGATACTGATATAGCAGATTCCCATATGGAATATACATAAATATAGTACCAAAGAGAAAAACCAGGTATGGTGACATGTGCCTATAATCCCACCACTTGGGAGCTGAGGCAAGATTATCGTGAGTTCAAGGCCAACCTGGGCTACATAGTGAGACCTTGTTTCAAAAAAAGAGGTGTGGGGGACATAGTACATCCCTGTAATCCCAGCATTTGAGAAGTAGAGGCTGGAGGAATCAAGAGTTCAGGGTCATCCTCAGTTACATACTAAGTTAAGCATCAGCCTGGGCTTCATGAGACCTATGTGTGTTTGTGTGTGAGAAAGAGAGAGTGAACAAACAAGAAAGCCCCCAAACTACAGAACAATATACAGAGCTACATTGCCCAACACAGTGGCTATAAGTCACAGGTACCCCTTTAAATTCAAGTAAATGGAAAATTCAGTACCTTAGTCATATTAGCCACATTTTAAGTATATGGTGGCTACATGTAGCCTGTAACTACTGGTTGGATACATAGATTCAGACATTTTAATCATTATAGAGGTCCTACTGGCCAGCACTGAATGGCATGTCTTAGAAAAGCATACAGACATACGTACTTTGGGAGGATCCCATTCCCCTTGCCACAAAAGCATTTGATGACATATTAAGAAGATAATAACAGGAGGCTAGGTATGGTGGCACATACCTTTGATCCCAGCACTTTGGAAGCAGAGGCAGGTGGATCTCTGTGAGGTCTAGGCCAGCCTGGACTATGTAGGAAGTCCAGCCAGTGCTACATAGTGAGACCCTGCCTCAAAAAAAAAAAAAAAAAAAAAGCAGGAACAGGCTGGAGAGAGGGCTCAGCGATTAAGAACACTGCTGCTCTTCCAAGGATCGGAGTTAGGTTTCTAGCACCTACAACAGGCGGCTCACAAAGGCATGTAACTACAGTTCCAGGGAATCTGACAACCTCTTCTGGCCTCCAAGGGCACCTGTAGTCATTTGGACATATTCCCTCAGGCACAAAAGCATACATATAATTTTTAAAAAATGCAGCAAGGATAGAAGGGCCCCAGGAAGCAGGACTGTCACCCATAGGTCCCATCCAGCATCAGGAAGGAGGTCTTAAGACAGGAAGGGAAAGGGGTTGCTCACAGTGGGTGCTGAGGGAGAAGTGAGGTTGCAGGAAGATGCCTTCTGCTGTATTATTCATAGGAGGGATGGAGGCCCTAGTGGGGAACCTAAACTGAGGCTCCCACAGAAGGTAGAGGACAGAGGGCTGGGGATGTTGGGAGTCGGTTAGCACCTGCACAGAAACAGCCCTGGGAGTTGAGGCCCTTCTCGGTGGGGATGGCCACGAGGTACTGCAGTAGGAAGCCATTCTCCCTGGTGGCAAACTTCAGCACCTCCTGACACTTTTCATCCAGACTTCCCCCAAGTGTTAGAGCCTCCTCAGCCGACTCCACCTAAGACGCCAGGACTTTGCGGACCAGGTCCCTCCACAGGGCAGCTTCCTCAGTGTTCCTGGCCTGCAGTTTCAGGATAGCCTTGGCTGTGATGATTTTGAAGAGGGCTGGGCCCCCAAGGCTTGCATCTGGCAGGATGTCTCCGATGGTCTCCACTCCATGGCTATCGCTTAGCATTTTCTCATTGTTTCTTACACAAAAACGTTTCAAATTCTCCAAGGACAGGGAAAAAATATAGGGGACCCAGGTCTGATCTGCATATAGGTACAAAAGAGACTCTTTGATAGCATCTGGCTCTGGAACCTGGGCAGATGTCCAATTTAACTGCATGCCCTGGGGGTCAGCAGGTTCTGGGACCAGGGCTGCATAAGAGAAGAGGCTGTTTGGTGGAGCCTCTGGGGCATCCTCAGGCTGGTCCGGGTATTGGATGTTCACCCACTCATCCTCCTGTTGAGGCCAGGCCTTCTGCAGGACCTCCTGCACTCGGTCAAGCCAGTCCTCGGCCTCATCCTGGGAAGAAGCATGCAGGGCCAGCTTCTTGCCAGAGAAGACCAGCTCAAAGCGCCCGTCACTGTGAGCTGGCCCAGCAGCCTCATATCATAACAGGGAGCAGCTTTCCACACATGTACGCTCCTCATCGCTCAGGTAGAGGCGGAGGTCCAGAGGGGACAGCTCACAAAACAGCTCCTTCCAGATGCCCATGGCCCCCCTCCAGGACACTGTGCCCAGCTTCAAGAGGCCCTGGAATGGGTTAGATAGGCCTAGAGGCAGAAAAGAAGCACTTTAGACCATGGGCCTGTCCCTTTATCACACACATCTACAACTGCCCTATTATGGGAGAATCACTGCTACCAAGAACATGGGGGCTCCAGGTACTTTCAAAGGGGACTCTGAAATTTGGATGGAATATTTTTTGAGCACCTCCAGCTGTTCTTCCTTCAGCTGTTGACCTCACTTTTGGCATTTCACTTTAAAGATGGAGTACTCAGACTGCTCCATGGGCTCCCTCACTGTACTGCCCCCTCAAGAGTCTGTGCCCACACTCTGACTTCCCATCACCAGGAATGAGCCAGCCCCTCCCCCCACCCACTCAAGGACAAGGACATGTCTCCAGTAATTCTCCCTCTCTCCCATGTTGCCCTTGTCTTCCTTCTCTACTGGATCATTCCCATCAACACACACACTGTGTTGTTACTCCTTCCATGCTTAAAATTTCCTCATCTCCACTCCCATCTCTAATTACCACCCCGTTCCTTGGTCTCCTTTACAGAAAAATTGCTTGGGGAAGTATCTACACATCTGTCTCTAGTTTCCGTGCCCCCATTCTTCCCCTTCCGCTTTTTTTT